TAAGCCACATCCCCAGCCCCTTATTTATATTTTTAATATTTTTATTTTTATGGGCACCAGGGGTTTGGACCCAGGGTACTTAACCACTGAGCCTCATTACCAGCCCTTTTATTTTTTATTTTGAGACAGGGTCTCACTAAGTTGCTTAGGGCCTTGCTAAATTGCTGAGGCTGGCTTTGAACTTGTGATCCTCCTGCCTCAGCCTCCTGAGCTGCTGGGATTTATAGACATGTGCCACCACGCCTAGCTATTTAACTTATTTTTATTTATTCATTTTTTACCATACCCAGGATTAAACCCAGTGGTGCTCTACTACTGAGCTACATCCCCAGCCCTTTCTATTTTTATTTTGAGACAGAGTCTTGCTAAGTTGACCGGGCTGACCTCAAACTTTCCTTCCTCCTGCCTCATCCTCCCATGTCACTGGGATTACAGGAGTATACTGCCACTTCTGGCTAAATAAATCCTATTTGACTTCTTAGTGACCTCTGAAGCCCGATGTTGTTCTCCATTTCCACACCACTGTCCTAACCAGAACTGGCTGCATCATTTGTGGGGCTTAGTGCAAAATAAAAAAGCAAGGTCCCTTCCTCACAAAGTATTAATAATTTTGAGACTGTGACTGAAGAGCATTAAACCGAGCACCAGACTCTTCTTTTTTTTTTTTTTTTTTTTTTTAATACTGGGGATTGAACCCGGGGGCACTTAACCACTGAGCCATATCTCTAGTCCTATTTTGTATTTTATTTAGAGACAGGGTCTTGCTGAGTTGCTTAGTGCCTCACTTTTGCTGATACTGGCTTTGAACTCGCAATCCTCCTGCCTCAGCCTCCAGAGCCACTGGGATTATAAATTCACCACTGCACCCAGCAGCTCCAGACCCTTCTAAGTGTGGGGCAATGACACTGGTGGCCTGGTCCTAACATAAGTGCTTTCTACCTCTATCTGAGCTGGTGCCTCTTTACTTTACTCTCTCACTCCTGGCCTGCATGCCTTCACTCTGTACAGCTATGTGAGGGCAAATCTCTCTAAAGACTTCTAAAACTCCAACTCCTTAGCATGATAAGCAGGACCTTCTTGACCCCTCCCTTGCTCACCTCTCTAGGCTCTTCCCTGTTGTCCCACCCTCACACTCCTGGTGGCTTCTGCCTGACACTGTTCTATGCATGCTGTTCCTTTTGTTTAAACTGTCCTATCTATCATCCAAGAATACTGTTCATCATTCAAAACAACTCAGGCCAGTAGTGGTACCACACTCCTGTAATCCCAACGACACGGGAGACTGAGGCAGGAGAAAGGAGAGTTTGAGGTCAGTCTGGGCAACTTAGTGAGACCCTGGCTCAAAATTTAAAAATAATAAATAAAACATGCTGGAGATGTAGCTCAGATGCTCCTGCATCCAATCCTCAGTACTGCAACAAACAAACATCRCTGCGCATGGTGGTGCGTGTCTGTAATCTCAGCGGTTCATGAGGTTGGAAGACTAGCTTCAGCAAATTAACGAGGCCCCAAGCATTTATGGAGACCCTATCTCAAGACAAAAAATAAAATAAAAAGCACTGGGGATGTGACTCAATGGTTAAGCACCCCCGGGTTCAATCCTGGGTACCAAAACAAAACAGCCAGAAAATGGTACATACTTGTAGGAGGCTGAGGCAGGAGGATCAGTTGAGCCCAGGAGTTAGAGGCCAGCTATCTAGAAATCAACCAAAAACAGATGGCACATCAGATTTGGTCCATAGGCCACAATTCACTAACCTCTGATTTAAGGAACTAAATGAGCCTTTACACATTTACATATCTTTGTCCACAGCTAGAATACGCATGAGGCCTTGGATCATTCCTTCTAATGTCCCCAGTGTCTTGCTCAGAGTCTGGTGCACAGTAGATACTCAATAGAGATTTGTGGAGTGGACCGATGAATGAATGAATGATTAAACAGGAGCTTGGGTGCCTATGGRAAATGAAGCCATAATCCCAGATGGCCCATTTTCCATCTTTTTTTACCCAACTCCTTCTCACACGGGACCCTCTGACCTGAACCACCTCCAAATCCTGGACAGAAGACAAGCAGTGCTACCCCTAAACAAGCCCCAGGCTTCTGGGGGGCCCAGAGTTGCTCTTGGAAACTGGCCTCATTTTTGGAGTGGCCCAGATGACGATGCTGCCTCCAGGTCCCAACCATTCTCTGCAAGGATCTTCTAAGTGTCCTACCAGACAAAGAGGGGAAGTAAGCAGAGTCCACGTCTAAGGAAGGAGAAAGGAAAGAGTGAAACAACTCTGGAGTAAAAAATGGGGAATTTCAACAGAGCAGCCCAAATTTCACTAGYTAAAGCAAAATGAGTAGGACCAACCGGAGGTGGGGAAGGAAGTGGCTGAGGTTGGGTAACTGGGGAGTTTCTTATTCTCTTAGTCTGGTATAATAGGAGACAGGAGAACAAGCTACCTCCTACTTGAAACCTGACTTTGCACTGCTTTGGGGGTGAGTTGGACTTCTTCCCTTGGAGAGAGAATCAAAGACTGGGAGACTCAGGTGAGCACTTTTTTTGGGGGGTRTATGTTTACTTTGTTGGACTTCTCATTTCTCACATGGTAACTCATAGATAAAACTGAGGTCTGTGTGTACGTGTAACAGAGGGGAGCAGAGGACACTCCAGCAGCCTCTTAAGTACAAAGATGGGACTCCTGAGTAGTCTTTGGGAATGGGGGAGGAATTAGGAAGGTGGAGGGTGCTGGGTTTACTGAGAGCTTCTGGATTTATGTGGGGGCAGACAAAGACCTGAGACATTTAGAAAAGAGATATCTTTGATAAGAACTTGGGAAAAATCTTTGGGATTGGGAAAGGACTAAGCCTAAGGGAGAGTTGGGGACCTTGAGATGAAGAGGAATGAGAATGGTTTGGAGGATGGTGAATTACAGTGAGCTCCAGGAGCACACTCCAGTGKCCAGGGCTCAGAGCTGCTCAATAGACCTAAGTCAAAGCCTGGCATGTTGGCACCTGACTGTAATCCCAGTGATTTGGGAGGCTGAGGCAGGAGGATCACAARTTCAAAGCCAGCCTCAGCAAACACGAGGCACTAAGCAACTCAGTGAGACCCTGTCTCTAAATAAAATACAAAATAGGGCTGGGGATGTGGCTCAGTGGCCGAATGCCCCTGAGTTCAATACCCTATACCCACCTCACCTCACCAGCAAAAAAGGGCTGGGGATGTGGTCCAGTGGTTAAGCGCCCTTGGGCTCAATCCCTGGTACCAAAGAGAGAGAGAGAGACAGAGAGAGAGAGAGAGAGATATCTAGTGCAAAGGCAGGTTCTGACTCGGGTTTCCTCTTGCACTCCCTTCCCCTTCAGCCTCCATGATGAGGAACACCTCTGAAGCCAACTTCTCCTGCTACCATCAGTCTGTGCTGGGCTATAATTACTTTGCAGTTACCTGGGGGGTGGTGGTGGCTGTGACCGGCACTGTGGGCAATGTGCTCACCCTGCTGGCCTTGGCCATCCAACCCAAGCTCCGGACTCGCTTCAACCTGCTMATCGCCAACCTCACCCTGGCGGACCTGCTCTACTGCACCCTCCTCCAGCCCTTCTCCGTGGACACCTACCTCCACCTGCGCTGGCGCACTGGCGCTACCTTCTGTAGGATATTTGGACTCCTCCTTTTTGTTTCCAACTCTGTCTCCATCCTCACCCTCTGCCTCATTGCACTGGGACGCTACCTCCTGATTGCCCACCCGAAGTTCTTTCCCCAGGTTTTCAGCACCAAGGGGGTAGTGCTAGCACTGGTGGGCACCTGGGTTGTGGGTGTGGCCAGCTTTGCGCCCCTCTGGCCCGTTTACGTCTTGGTACCTGTGGTCTGTACCTGCAGCTTTGACCGMATCCGAGGCCGGCCTTACACCACCATCCTCATGGGCATCTACTTTGTGTTGGGGCTCAGCAGYGTGGGCATCTTCTATTGCCTCGTCCACCGCCAGGTGAGGCGAGCAGCCCAAGCGCTCACCCAGTATAAGCTGAGCATCCGCAGCACCCACGTGGCGGGGACCAGTGAGGTCATTCCTGGTCGCTTCCAGGAGCTGGACAGTGGGCTGGCATCCAGAGGGCTCAGTGAAGGGATCTCATCTGAGCCAGTCAGTGCTGCCACTACCCACACCCTGGAAGAGGGCTCATCAGAAGTGGGGGACCAGGACAACAGCAAGGTAGCTAAGCAGTYGGCAGAGAAAAACCCTCCAGAAGCTTCTTCCAAGGCTGGGCCAACTAAAGGAGCCCCAAGAGCTCAGGACTCTCCGTCAGAGTTTGGGAAGGTGACCCGGATGTGTTTTGCCGTGTTCCTCTGCTTTGCCCTGAGCTACATCCCCTTCTTGCTGCTCAACATCCTGGACGCCAGGGTCCAGGCCCCCCGAGTGGTCCACATGCTGGCGGCCAACCTCACTTGGCTCAATGGCTGCATCAACCCAGTGCTCTATGCAGCCATGAACCGACAGTTCCGCCAAGCCTACAGCACYCTCTTAAGAGGAGGGCCCCAGAGTTTCCGGCGGTTCTATTAGAAACATGTCCCCAGCAACATGTCCCCAGCAACCAGAATCCCAAATGGTCTCTGGAGCCAGAGTGGCCAGCTGACATGAGAACRAGTGACGGTCAGACCTGTGGGCATTTTTACAGTCCCTCCCCCAAACCACAGTTCTCCGTCCCTTGATGAATGAATGATTCAGCCCTAGGCTGCCCAAAGAGCACCATTAATTATTAATAGGTGAATTGCATGTTTTGTTTTGTTTGTGGTGCTGGGGATCGAACCCAGGGCCTTGTGCATGCAAGGCAAGCACTCTATCAACTGAGCTGTATCCCCAGCCCCGAGCCCTTTTTACTTTTTATCTTGAGACAGGGTCTTGCTAGGTTGCAGAAGCTAGCCCCAGACTTGGGATCTTCCTGCCTCAGTCTCCCATATTGCTGGGATAACAGGTGTGTGCCACCATGCTCGGCTAGATGACATGCTTTTAATGCTTGGTTGTACTCTCTGAGCAAGAAGGAGAGAGGCCAGGGTTGGAGCTGGAACCTAATAAGTGAGAATGTGGGGACCTATGTCAGAATAAGGATAAAGAGCACCTGGCCAGGGACAGAGCCTTCAGCTGAGGGGTGTCCCACTCATAGAACACGTGAAGTAGTTTAGAAGAATGAGCTTGCAGGGCTGGGGTTGCGGCTCAGTGGTAGAGCGCTTGCCTAGCCCCTGTGAGRCAGTGGGTTCCATCCTCAGCACCACATACAAATAAATAAATAAGGTTWAAAAAAGAAAGGATTAGCTTGCCTTTTTTGCTTAACTTCCCAGAAATGATCTCTGCCCCTAACAACTGCTGCCAGCATCCCCCATCTCCACAAACAGGTTTATTCCGCTCAAAAAAGTTTGATGATCCAGCTTGGGCACCCACTCCAGTGAACCCAGCTGCCCGCCCTGCCCTGTGCAAAGAGAAGAGTCACTGATGAGRAGCCCTGGCTCTGGGAAATGGAACTGAGCTTTGCTGAGGCAAAAACAGGCCTCAGCCCCCCCTAATAGGGTCTCACTCTTTGCAGCTAATTCACCCTGTGGCAGGCCATTTACCCCATTATCCTGGCTTCTGAAACAGAGCAGAAACCAAGAGGGCTCTGGGGCCAGAATAGCGGGGAGACCACACCAGCCCTTTCCTCCAGCCCGACCTACACATCCTGTGGCGGTGGGCATGCTCACGCACAGCGTGAGAACACTTGCGGCCACCAGGTGACGCTGGTTCTCTGTGTTTTCCTTTCTGGCTTTCTGCTTAAGGACAGGAAAAAAAAAATAAAATACCAGCAGAACTGCAAGTCCAGTCCAGAGGTCAGAGACCCAGGGATCTGCACCCGCCCTTTCTCCAAAAAAACTTAGGAAGAAAAGAATTGAGACCTTTTAATTTTTCATGAGCTATTCATTATCTCTGGTGGGCAGCGTGGGAGAGCAGGGTGAGCACTGTGGTGGCACTGGGGRTGGCATATGAGGTCAGGCTGGCACGAATGCAGAGGCTGAGAGTTGTCCCCTTCCTACCCACAAACCCRCGTGAGTTGAGAGCACAAGGGAAGTCTGGAGAGATTCAGGCAAGGACACAAAGAACCAGAGTCCAGGTGGACAGATGGAAACCCTCACATGCCACACACCTCCAGGGCCCAGGAATCCTGTTCCTAATCTGGAACCTGCATTTCGTGGTGTCCTCCTTCCACAGAGATCATCAACAGTCAGGTTGACGCTACTGAGGCAGGTGAACTGCAGGACCAATGAAGAACATCAGCTTGGGAGTGCAGAAGAGGGTTCCACTCAAGGCTCGCTGGGAATCAGCTCCATGAACTTGAACAGATCTCTGGACCACTCTGGGCCTTAGGCTTTATGATCTGCATAAGGGGGAGGGGACTCTTCCTTGAACCTACTGCAATTCTAAATCCTGCAAATAAATTGTTTTATGTAATCCTCACAAAATTCCTGTGAAATATTTATTAGTATACACATGAGAAGACTGAAGCATAAATTAGTTAATTTTGTGCAAGGTCAAAGGGCTGGTAAGTGATCTGACCATGATTTGAGGGCAGTCATGTTACCAGCACACATGGCTAACCACTACAGAACAGCTGCCTTGCTAAAACTAGGATCAAGTGACCAGATGATGCCTAAAAGTCTGTCCTACTCGGACCTTCTAAGATTCTGAAAGTTGATGACTCTCTGAAGGGTTGTAAAAGGGTTTACTTTTCATATTCCTTGAAGGCAATTCAAAAGCTTCCTCAAAGTAAAAGGGAGCAGCAATAGGGACTGAGGTTAGACCGCAGGAAGGACTTCCCGATTAGCAGTCACTGGAAAAATGAATCAGGYGACGTTTTTAGGGGTAAAAATGTGAAAGAAGTTCTGGAGTCCGAGACCGTACAGAGGACAGGTATTAGCAAGAAGGCAACCCTCTCCTTTCTCACCCTTAGCAGCCCTAGACACCCATCCCTGGCCCGGTAAGGGCTGGATAAGGGGAAAGGAGCAGAAGAAAAGCAAGGCTTTCTTCAGGTGCTGTCTCCCCTGCGGATGTGCGTGGCGCGTGTCCCTGCACTAGGTCCCCCGTGATGCGTAGCTCACGCRTGACTCGGGACAAGTGTATGCGTCTGGGAGCCCTGCGTGCTCCTGAATATGAGGGTGTCTGTCTCTGTCTCTTTATCTCTGTCAGCCTCCCGCCCRAGCCCAGCTCTATCGCTGACTCTGACGCGGCTTCTCTTTGTCTCGCTCCATCTGCCCGTCCCTCCCGCAGGCTGCACACACGCTCTTTCCCGGCTTTCGCCTCMGCTCCCTGCTCGCGCCGCCCCCGCCCGCGCCCGAGCCCGAGCCCGAGCCCGCGCCCGCGCCTCCGCCTCCGCCTCCCGCCCCAGCCTTCCAGGCTCTTGCTCTAGCGCACACTCTCTCTCTTTCGCTGTCTCTTACAGGCAGATTTATGGTCAGCCCAGGGCCTTTCATTGGCCAAGCGCTGACAGGACTTGATTTAACGCCGTCTCTCATTGGCTGAGCTTGACAGGCCGATTTACGAGTCTCTCTACCATTGGCCAAACCGTATTGGCCCTGATTTATGGTTCGGTGGCTGCGCGGGCGGGGGTGGGGGCGCAGCTGGGGAGTGAGGAGGCCCCTCCCCGCGCCGCCGCGTTCCTCTCGCTCTACCCGCTCGCTCTCCTCGCCTCCCCCGCCCCTGAGGAGCAGGGCTCCCTCTACCTGTTCCTCCAGCCCCCTCCCTGCCCGTCCGTCCGCTGGGAGGGGAACGTGGGGCAGGGTGGCGGTGGGAACGGGAGCGAAGGGCCGGGTCTGAGGGGTCCGGTAGGGGCAGGGTGGGGACACTGAAGTCTAGAGCGAAGAGGAAACTGAGGGGGCCCCAGGGTGACAGAGGAAGGTTGAGGGGCGGCGGCCCGGGGAGAGCGGGGAAGGCCTGACCGGAGAGGGGGTGCGTCTGAGGGATAAGTGGGCGGAAGCGGAGACAGCGGCCACCGAGGGGCACTTCAGACCTCACTGTCCCAATTGGATGAGAGACAGATTTCCTTTTCAGACAATGGCTGCAGGGGAAAGGCTTAGAGGAGGGAGAAACAGGGATAGGCGAGGAAGGACCACTGAAAGGTAATAGGAAAGAGAAGCCATGGCGAGGCCGGAAGTAAGGTCGACTTTTTTGGGGGGGGGGGGAGGCGTGAGAAACGACTGATGCCCAGAGGAAGTTTTGAGAGAGAGGCTCCCACGCTCCCATTGGCTTCTGCATGGGGACAAGTGAAGCGCCTCCCCAGGAGATGTTCTGTTTTCTCCAGGCTGCAGTGGACTCCCCATTCCATGTGCCTCACTTCTCCCCCTCGCTCACCTCCCCAGTTAAATTTATGAGTTCAGGATTGGCCTTCAGGAATTAGGAATATTTATGCTTCTTTGAGAGTGAGGTTTGGAGGGTGATAAATAGGGGTCCATGGGTGTGTGKGGGGGTGCAGCTGGGGGCTCCTGTGTTTAACCTGGCTACTTTCCCAATGCCCCCACCCACCATTCCTTCTCATCCTGAGCCAGAGAAGGAGCACTCCTGGGGAATGGGTTTTGGGTTTCGCTATCACGAAGGAGGCTTGATTATCCTGGAGAGCTCCCCTATCCCACTCCCACCCCCACCTCAGAGGTCTGCAGAGCTTTGCAGCAGAAAGGATTGAAGGCAGATAAGGAAAGAACTTTTTAAGCATCCTGGCATTCATAGAGCCCCTGGAGTGAAGTTACAGCATTTCTACAGAAAATAGGGAGAAGTCTGTTCCCCTAAACTCAGTTGCCTAGGAATAGGGGAGAAGGGCCAGGAAATTCAAAGGCAGGTTTCTCTAACATGTCACTTCCCTCACAGGGAGAGGAAGATTTGAAACCTCCCACCCCCCCAGAGACCACAGCCTAGATCCCTGAGAAAGGAGGCTAGGAATGTGGGCTCCGAACATCTCCTAGGAGCTTCAGGCCCCAACCTGTCCACCCCCACTGCTGGCTGCGAATTAAAAACAGCCAGTAGTTCTGGACACCCCTTGCCCTGGGCCTCCAGGAAATGAGGGAGGGAGGAAGGATCTGCATCTGGACCCACATGCCTTGGAGAGTTCTTTTCCAAAAGCCGCATCTGTGACCCCTAATCCAGTAAGAATGCTTATTCTGGGCCTGGGTAGATAGTGAACAAAGGGATGGGCCCATGATATAAGGGAGGTTTAAGGAGACCAAAGAGCTGGGGAGGAGTTGCCCTGCCCCCACCATCCCCTCCCTCTACTCTGGCCTTAGCAAGGATGGTCACAGTGCACATGTGTACACAGGAGACTGCTGCCTGGAGTGGGAGGAGGGAGGGAGAGAAGGGTCTAGACTGGCCCTTTAAGAGCCACTTAGGGTCAGAAAGCTTGGGCTACAGAGAGGGGAAGGAGCTGATGTCAGAAGACGGATGGGCAGCAAGATGGGGATTGATGCTAATGGGGGAGTTAAAGCTAAGTACCCAGACACTCAGAGGGCAGAACTGCAGATCTGTCTTCCTTATGCTCACCCCCCTCCCAA